ACCACTGCTGTCTCCATCTGTGAGGTAGGGGCTGTCGGGGCCACGAAGCCTGAGCGTGCTGGCATCGTCAGGCTGAAAAGTGAGATCAAGCAGGTGAGGGCATGGGGTGCAGGGTGCGGCTGCCAGGTTTTGTGGGTGACAAGCAGCTACAGGATGGGCAGGATTGATGGGAGAGCAGGAGGGAGCTCGCTCTTGGGCTTTAGAGAGCTTACAGCTGCTTCCAGGAGCTCCTGTTGGCTCCGGTCCTGCCCTGGGGGGGAGAACTGGGGTAAATCTGTTAGTGGGGGTGGGAGTTGCTCTGGAAGTGCAGTACAGGGGGGAGCACAGGGGTACTTAAGAAGGTGCAGGGGTGAGGAGGACCACACAGTGTCCCAGGCATGGCTGGTGTCCTGGTGGGCCTCTTCCAGCAGCAGAAACTTCATTTCCTTCTTCTCTTGCAGCAACTGGATAAACGTAGGCAGTCTCTGACTGGGAGTAAGGTGAAGCCACTCTGGTCCTCCTGCAGCCTCAGCTTTTGTCCCTCATGCCACACACCAGGGCAGCTCCCAAGCATGCATGAGTCTGAGCTTTCCTAAACAAACCTGCTGAGCGATCTGCAGAAGCAATTAGCTGGCTTCCCCTCTCAACAGGCTCAGGGTTGCTCTGTTCAGGATGGGGAAGGAGGCTGGCTCCCTGGGAAGAGATCGGCATTGCTCTTAATATGCGGTGGGGGCTCAGGGCTGGCACTGCCCTACAGCCTTCAAGGAGCTCCCCTCTGAGTGGCACCAGCCGTGTTTGGTCTGGCCAAGGGGAAGGCTTCTCTGAAGCTGTGGGTGTATTGGCATTACAACCAGCTGGGAGCTGTGCTCCATAGCTGCTATGGCTAATAGGTCCCATTATACTAAAAAAAACTTGCTGAGTGGGATGGCATGGTGTTCCCAGTGCCATGACCAGCAGTAGCCCTGCTGGTAATTGTTGGATCCTGCATGTAGCCTCCCCAGCTATTTCTTCTCTGCAGGAAGAGGCTCCTGCCCAGCTACAAATGACAAGGGCCTTTTCCAGTGCTTGGTGTGAGTCCAGGAGGAGTCCTGAGCTCTAGGAGGGGGCCCATCCTCAGAGACATGGCCTGCGGGGACCAGGCTGATGCAGCAGGTTTATGGTCAACCTGCTGCAGCATGAAACCTGGCATCACAGAGGGACCACATATGTGGCGAGGAGGGTTGTCCACGGGCAGCGACCTTGCTGCTGGCCCTCCAGTCTGCCTGAGAATAAATCGCTGCCTGTGACAGCAGCCCAGAGAGCAGTAGCAGCCCTGCCCCTGTGCGCTGACTGGCACAAGTTCACTGCTGCTGCAGCACCAGCACATGGGGCCCCGCAGCTGCTCCATGCCCTGGCGCCCCTCTGATGCTAATCTGAAAATTTCCGCAGCTCGCCTTTCAAAAGTACCTCTCAATCTCCAGCTAACTGCAGCCCTTGGGATAACTGCCCTGTGACCTGAGCTTGGCCCATGTTGCTGCTGCTGTGCTTGCTGTGATGGCTGCCCCGCTCTGGCACAATCTGATTTTTGTGTCTTGTTTTCCTTTAGCCCCTCAGTTTACAGTCTATGGATGCCGACCTGAAGTCCTCTCTGGTAACCTGTGTTTGTTGTTTGTCATGTTTGGCTGCAGAAAGGAGCTGTGCTCTGGGGGGTGTCACAGTGAGCTGGGGCTGCAGGGTGTGCTTTGCTGGGGGCAGGGGGTGGCAGCTCTACCCTGGGGAACCAGGCTGGGCAAGCACAAACTCTTGGGCAGCAGCAGGCTGCATTCTCGTGAAGTATTTACTTTGCAGCAGTCTCTGTTGTCCTTGTTTTGTCTGCCCAGTCCACTGGGCACTCAGAGCTGCTGGGCAAGGGCTCCTTTTCAAGCATGCTGGAAGACCAGAGCAGTAAGGACAGCCGCCAGGGCCAGTGGCATCGGAGACGGCGGCTGGATGGGGCCCTGAACCGTGTTCCTGTGGGCTTCTACCAGAAGGTCTGGAAGGTCCTGCAGAAGGTGAGCTGTGTGTCTAGCTGGCTCCTCTCCATGCATGTGAGCCTGTAGTCCCAGGCACCAGCCTTGCCAGGGACACCTTGGGCACCTGAGGCTGGTCCCGATGTTGTGTAGATACCTGCTTCATGAACAAGGCCTGCAGCTGGCCCTGGAAAGCTGGGGAGGAGTTGGAGCTGCCTTGTAGGCATGTAAGACTGACATACTGTGCTGACCATTGTAGAGGGCAACTGGGTCTGCTCAGTTGCTTTATACGTTAGGCAGGCAGGGACAGGGCTGGAGCCCCAGCTGAAGCAGCTCCAGGCATAGCTCATCCTAGGCACAGTAAGCCTGGGAGCAGAGCCCCATGCTGTGTGTAATTGTTGGATCCTGCATGTAGCCTCCCCAGCTATTTCTTCTCTGCAGGAAGAGGCTCCTGCCCAGCTACAAATGACAAGGGCCTTTTCCAGTGCTTGGTGTGAGTCCAGGAGGAGTCCTGAGCTCTAGGAGGGGGCCCATCCTCAGAGACAGGGCCTGCGGGGACCAGGCTGATGCAGCATATGGCCTTTCTGCTGGCCCTCCAGTCTGCCTGACAATAAATCCCTGCCTGTGCCGAACTGATGGGAAAGCCCATGTAGCTGATGCCAAACTGGTGGAGAAGTAGTGATGCTGTGCAGTGAGTCAGGAGGTGGAGCTGGGGTGTGTGGGCAGCACCCACCAGTGCTCGAGTAGGAGCAAGCTGATGGGCTGGACCTATGTGTCCTCGCACAGTGCTTCTCCAGGCCATGACCATGGTTGCTCTTTCTTGTTTTGCAGTGCCATGGCCTCTCCGTGGAGGGCTTTGTTCTCCCCTCTTCAACAACCAGAGAGGTAGGAGGTTTATGTGAAGGGGAAACAGGGCAGGTGGGTTGGTGTTGGGCGCTGGGTTGCCCTGGGCAAGTGCCTAGCACAGCACGGGACTTGTGCTGGCGGTATGAGGCTCTAGATGCATTCCTTCTCCCTCCTCACAGATGACCCCAGGGGAAATGAAGTTTGCTGTGCATGTGGAGTCAGTCCTCAACCGCGTGCCCCAGCCAGAATACAGGCAGCTGCTGGTAGAGGCTATCTTAGTGCTCACCATGCTGGTGGACATGGAGGTGCACACCATTGGTGGCATCATAGCTGTGGAAAAGATCTTGCAGACAGCCAACGACCTTTTCTACGAGGAGCAGGTAGGGGCCAGGCCTCATGCAGAGGGCGCAGACTGCACCCAGGGCTGCTGGCTGCGTTCCTCAAAGCTCTTCAGAGTCCATCCCCTGGGAGGGTCCTGCCTGTTGTCTCCATTGTGTTCATGGGGCATAGCAAAGATGTAGCATCCTCTTCCTGCTGCTCACCATCTGTGTGTCACACTGAGTACAACGGAGGATAGGGGGGTAGAAGCTGGTGAGGGGTCTGCCCTTATTCCTAATGCTGCCTTTCTCCTCCCCTGTCCAGAAAGCCCTGGGTGCCGACGACCACATGCTGGAGAGGGACCCTGTGACGGGCATCTGCAGGCTGCTGTACGACAGTGCTCCAAGCGGCCGGTTCGGCACCATGACCTACCTGTCCAAGTCGGTGGCCATGTACGTGTACGACTTCCTGCCCACCGACGGCTGCTCCATGCAGTAGCTCTCACAGCTCCTCTCCTCAGTCCACAGATGCTACAGGAGGGTTGTTTCATACAGCTTTTAAAGATGGGCTTTAGGTTAGTGTGCAGGCAGCCTGTGTGGCCATCTCTCCTCCCAGTCCCGGCCTCTCAGTGGGTGAGGGCTCTCCCAAAAAGCTCCGCAGGAGGCATATGTGCTAAGCTGACCTGTGTCTGCCTGCAGAACGAGGGCTGGCAGGGAAAGGCTGAGCTTTGAAGCCTGTTTGTGTTAGATGTGTCTGCACGGTTCCTCCTGGGCCATTGCCCCCAAAGGGGCCTGTGTTTGAAGGAGGTGGAAAGGGCCCCCTCACCAAGCATGTGTGCTTTGCACTGCAGCTCAAGCTTTCCCTGCCTCAAGCAGATTTGAGGTTTTTAACCTGTTCTGTGCTGCTTTTTGTTCCAAATCCACAGGGTTATACTAGTGTAGGCTGGAGCTCTTGCTCTTCCTGCTGCTAATAGAAAAGCTTAGTTAGGAAAATGTCACCTGAGCCTCTCCCAGCACACCCAAAATCAAAATAGTCCAGCCTGGCCACCACTGTGCTGCTTGGACACAGGCACCCATCATGTCTCCCTCAGGGGAGGAGGTGCACAGCTGGGTGGCTATGGGAGCCAGGAGCATCCCAAGGTGGGAACAGTCCCCTGCTACCACCACACTGTGAGCACAGGGTTTCTGGCTGCCTGAGGGATGCTGGTGGCAGTCCCTCTGTGCCCTCTGCTCTGTCTCTGGCAGTGTTGCTGATGGCTAAGTTGCAGGTTCCCGAGTGGATACGTGTCCTGTGAAGCAGCTCTGAGCTAGCTGCATGGCTCAGCGTTAGCTGTGCCATCACAGACGTGCTCTTAACATTCAGTTGTGGCCTCTGTCCCAGTTCCCACAGCCTTGCACAGGAGAGGGGTGGCAACTTCAGAGTAGGTCCCGGATCTGCTCTATCCTGCTGGTCAAACCCCACATAGGATAATGCAGTTGGAATTATGGGGATCAGGCACACTCATCACAAAGTGGTGGGGGAGCGGTCTGTTGACTATCGCATCATAGAATAGTTTGGGTTGGAATGGACCTTAAAAGGTCATCTAGTCCAACCCCTCTGCTGTGAGCAGCGACACCTTCCACTAGACCACTTTGCTAGTGGTCTCGGGCTCAGAGCTCTGTCCAACCTGACCTTAAATGTTTCCAGGCATGGGGTATCTACCACGTCTGTGGGCAACCTGTGCTGGTGTTTCACTACCCTCAGTGTAAAACATTTCTTCCTTATGTCTAGTCTAAATCTTCCCTCTTTTAGTTTAAAGCCATTACCCCTTGCCCTATCACAACAGGCCCTGCTAAAGTTTGTCCCCATCTTTCCTGGAACCCTGTTAGGGACTGGAAGGGGCTCTAAGGTCTCCCCAGTGCCTTCTCTTCTCCCGGCTGAACAACCCCAACTCTCTCATCCTGTCCTCACAGCGGAGTGCCTCCAATCCTTGGAGCATCTCTGTGGCCTGCTCTGGCCCTGCTCCAACAGGTCCATGTCCCTCTGATGTTGGTGGTCCCAGAGCTGGGGTCTTCCCAGAGTGGAGCAGAGGGAATCTGCGGAGCGGAGCGGAATCCACCCCACCCGCACCCCCTGCCGGCCACGCTGCTGGGGATGCAGCCCAGGATGCAGGGGCCTTTCTGGGCTGCGAGCGCACATTGCTGGCTCATGTCCAGTTTTTCACTCCCCAGCACCCCTAAGCCCTTCTCCTCAGAGCTGCTCTCTTATCCCTTCAGCCCCAGACTGTGCTGATAGTGAGGGTTGCCCTGACCCATGTGCAGGAGACTGCACTTGGCCTTGTGGAACCTCATGAGGTTCACAGGGGCTCACTTCTTGAGCCTGTCCAGGTCCCTCCTGGATGGCATCCCATCCCTCAGGCATGTTAACTGCACCACTCAGCTTGGTGTCATCCACAAACTTGCTGAGGGTGCACTCATCCCACTGTCTATGTCATTGATGAAGATATTGAACCGTACCGGTCCCAGGATGGCCCTGTGTATTTCCTTCTTGCCCTTTAGTTTGACCAGCAGGTCTCGACTCAACCATGCTGGTCTCTTGCCCTCCATTCCTGATTCTTACATCTGGGGATTGAGATCTGCCAGCTCTGTTCTGCTCCTTTGCCCCTGAGGGCAGTTTCCCAGAGCGTCTGTTGACTGACTCCCGGAATTCCTGAGCTGGAATTTTGCTTTCATGAAAGTCAGGGTCCTGACTTAACTCTTAGGACTGTGAACTCCACCAGTGCATGATCACTGCAGCCCAGGCTGCTTCCAATCTTGACATCACCAATTAGCTTACTTGCGTTGGTGACCATCAGGTCCAGTGTCGCATCTCCTGTGGTGGGGGTGTCTATCGCCAGCCTGAAGAAGTTATCCTCGATACACTCCAGAAGTCTCCTGAATTGCCTGAGGGCCCTTACTGGTACCCCGTCCCTCTAACCTTGGCATGTTGTTCCACAGCTTGTCACGGGCGAGCCTGATATTATCCCCCTCCCCTTTCAAGCCTAGTTTAAAGCTCTGTCAATGAGCCCCACTAGCTCATGAGAAGGAGACCCTCTTCCCCCTTTCAGAAAGGCGAAGCCTAACTGATGCCAGCATGCCTGGCACCATGCAGGCCGTCCCATTATTGAAAAATCCCAAATTGTGGCAGTAATACCAGCCACGGAGCGACATATTAATAGTCTGGATCTGACTTTCTTTCAATGTTGTTGTCCATCAACACCAGCATTGGAAGAAATAGGAAAACCCAGTCTGTCCTGAGAGGAAAAACTAACCTGTGCTCTAGATTCCCTTACCAACTGTCCCGAAGCCCAGAAGTCTCTTTTGATCCCCCTTGGACTATGCATTGTGGCTGCTTCGCCACCCACATGGAGGAGCAGTGGTGGGTAATAGTCCAAGGGCTATATCGAACTAGGAAGTTTCCTAGTGGTAGCCTTAATGCAGGCTCCAGGGAGGCAGCAGACTTTGAGAGGAGGGTCTGGCTGCCATATTGGACCCTCTGTTCCCTTCAGAAGGGAGCTGCCTACAACTATAACCTGTCGTCTTCTTTGTGGAGGTGGTTGTGGTACAGGCGTCAGCCTCTCTGACCTTGGCAGCACCTCTGGTGAATATGCACTGTCATCCACATCAACATCCATGCAGTGCCCTTCCACATCCAGAGCTGTATACCTGTTGGACACAGGCACCTGGGAAGGTGAGGTGGGCAAGGAGGGGGTTCACCTGCCACTCTGAGTGTGGACTTGCCTCTATTCCCTCCTCTCTTTTAAACTGCTGTCTTCAGCCTGCGTGGGGAGGAGGATGCAGGACCCTCTTGATCTTGGTTTTTTCCTGGTGGCTGTTCCCGTTTCCGTCTCAGGGAGGGCAGAACATGGTTCTACCAGTCTATCTCTGAGGAGCTGATGCTCCTCAGACTTTCTACTTCCTCCTGTACCTCTGCCACCAGACTGAGCAGATCCTCCCCCTGGTCACACCTCACATGACTGTTCCAGCAGCTGTCATCTGTCACCAGTGACAGGCTCTGGCACTCCCTGCAGGCTGAGACCTGGGTGGCTGCATGTTTTCATGGGAGCTCTGTCTGGATTGCCACATGCATTCTGGCGAGTGCTGGGGACATGGCTTTCTGCCTGGTGGGTACCACAGTTGACCTCCTGAGACGGTGACGGCCACCGACTGAGCTCAACCCTGGAGCTGGTAGGGTCACTGTCCCCTTCCCATGTGCGCTGCCACGCTGTACTCTGGTTGCCTGCTCCAGTCACCATGCTCCTGCTCGTTCCCCGGGATGCTTTTATGGGCATGGAGGAGGCTGTGGCTCTGTGGGCCAAGACCTGCTGCTTTGCTGCGCATCAGGCCAGCTCCGGAGCAGTTCCCCTTGGTGTGTTTTGTGATCTTGTAGCCGGTTTAAGCTCCTGTGTTGTCTCAGAGCCACTTCCTGAGGTGGCCGATACTCTGTAATTGTTTCCCGCTGATCCTTCCACACCTGGAGAGCCCTGTCCGGGCAGAGGGGGCTGTAGCCCCTGCTCCACTTCTCCCTTCCTCCAGAGAAACCTGGGAGGGAGCTGGTTCGGGAGCCAGCGGGGCTCTGGCCGTGTTTGGGCCTCAAACCAGGACAGCTCCTCCGGCGAGGGGTGCGTTTTTAATGACCGTTGTTACATTTTTAAAGATAATCCACCCCACGACCTGCGGCCGGTGGGGACCCCCAATAAAACGTCTCCTATGGCGAGTGTGTGTGGACTACAGCTCCCGGCGTGCCTCGGCGGCGCGGCGCCTCCCGGCGTGCCCCGCGGCCGGAAGTGTCCGCCGTGGCGTGCCCCGGGCGGCCCGGCCCGGCGTGGCGGCTCTGATGGCGGTGGCGGCAGCGACCCCGCCAGTCTATGTGTATAGCGCGGAGTACGTGGCTCTCTGCGACTCCCTCTGCAAAGTGCCCAAGCGGGTCAGCGCCGCACCGTGGGGGCTGGCGGGGAAAGGGTGGTGGTGGTGTTAACGGGCCCTGTGGGACCCCGGCGTGGTGGCGTTGGGAACGTGGTGGTGAGGCCTGGGGTCAGAGGGGAGCCCCGGGGCTTTGGGGAGGCTGCCGGCATCGGGAGCAGCGGGAGGGTGTGGGGGAGCTTGGGGGAAGGGGCGGCGGCGGGGCCCTTGCCGGGGGGCGAGCTCGTCTCTCCCCTCACAGGGCCGCTGGGAAGGCTGCCGGCATCGGGAGCCTCACCATCGCGGTGGTGAGGCCTGGGGTCAGAGAGGAGCCCCGAGGCTTTGGGGAGGCTGTGGGCAGCGGGAGGTTGTGGGGAGCTTGGGGGAAGGGGCGGCGGGGGGCTGGGACGCAGAAGTGGCAGTTCCTGGTGCCCCTTCTCGAGAAGCTGAGCGCTGCCGTCCATTTTCCGAGGCAGTGGGAACGCCCTGTAGACACTACTGTGCTGCACAGTTCCGGGGGGATCCCCTGTCTGGGCACCCAGCTGAGGCAGCTGCCGGTTCAGCTGTGCTACTGGGAGAGTCACGCCAACGCCTTCCCTCCAGGTCATGTAGCTCCCGGTGGCTGTGTGTCTGTCACCTGCACTAGAGCTATCTCATGGTGGTCGTCTTCTCTTTTTAGGCCAGTATGGTACACTCGTTGATTGAAGCATATTCCTTACTCGACCAGATGAAGTAAGTGTTCCCATTTTCTGTGAAAAGAACAGTTTTTTCTCTGCTGAGGTTTGGAAGATACCAAGTAACTGCAGGTCTTACGCTGTCCCTGCTGGCAATGTGATTTTTAGGAGCCCATGCAGTGTGTATTTCTAGGATCTAAGGAAAGTCTGCCTGTTTTGCTAACTGGACAAGATTATGGTAATTTTGGCAAGTGTAATTTACGGTTACCTTTTGTAGTCCAATGGAATACAAATTGTCTTGTGCTTTCTCCATAGAGTACGCTGCTCTTATGGCTCTGAGCAGAAGTGACGGCATAGAAACCATCCTTGTTGGTTCTGCTCTGAATCTGTGCCTGAACACTGGCCTGTGCTGATGCTGAGAGAAGCCATATCGTTTTGCTATGTTGTGATTGATTTGGGAGACTTTTTGTGAGGTGTTGGTCCTGTTCAGGAGAGAAGACAAGATGAGGTCTGAGGCGGAAGAGTGAGAACCCTCCAACCCCATTAGGCTCTTGACACTGGGGGATATGAAGGGAAAGAAAAGGCTTAGCTCAGCCTCTTTTATGTAGAGTCTCATAAAAACTTAAAAAAATCCCACACTCCAACAGGGCCAGAAAGTCCTACTGGGCCTTTTTTTTAAAGGATTTTTTCCTTTCTGATCATTTTGGTACAGTGTGCTTAGGAAATCGCTGTGGGCACCATTACTGAGATGGACCCAAAGCCTATTCACCCTGGCTTGGGGTGAGAAGTACTTGGCACCTGGGCTGGCCTCCAGCTAGGAGCTCCTTGCATCCTTTCTGTAGCAGTGGAGCTGTACTGTGTTGCCTCTGTGCCTCCAGAGTCTGAGGTTTAGAGAGGGCTTCAACGTGCCACAAGATTTATTTAGACGGATTGCAAAGCACCCAAACCCGAGAAAGGTGATGTGAAAGTTGCTGAGGACAGAGGCAGTCTCTGAATGCAGGTGGAGTTAAGAGCATGTCGGAGGTGCTGCTCAGCTCTTGACCCAGCAGGCTGGTGTCCTGCCGCCATGCTGGGCTGAGCCTGGGTGGTCTCATTCTGATATTTCCTCTGTGTGTAACCAGAATGTTGGATCTGCTGTGGGTTGCTCAAACTGGGAGAACATGCAGAAAAGGGGAAAAAACCTTGAGGCAAAGTGGAAAGGTTGATGCAGGCAGCACCTGCAGGTGTTCCTTGTCAGGGTGGGCATAGCAGACAGTGCCAAGGTGGTGAAAAGGTCTACTCCAGCTCAGCTGAGCGGCTTTCTCACTCAAAGTGACAGTCCAGTGCTTTTGTTTGCTTTTTCAACATGGAAGGAGGAGGGGCTTTTTGCTTTTTCAACAGTAACTGCCAAAAGAAGGCTCCTTGTGCAAGGAGGTTAAAGCTGGTCATTCCAGCCGAACCCTGGAGCTGGAACCTGAAGCGCTCCCTTTCTCTTCTCTGCCCAGGATAGTCAAGCCAAAAGTGGCCTCCATGGAGGAGATGGCAAGCTTCCACACGGACGCCTACCTGCAGCATCTGCAGAAGGTCAGTGAGGAGGGAGATGACGACCATCCGGAGTCAGTGGAGTATGGACTGGGTAAGGATGCATACCTTCAGCGAGAGATAAATGACTATCAGGCCCAGGATGCTTTTTTGCGGGAGCTGAGGTTAGGTGGAGGGGTGAGCTGGGCTTTTGTGGAGGGAAGCACTCTTTGGGGTGTTGCTGGACCTCGTCAGCCAGCGGTCGCCTGTCTGGCTGGCATTTTCACTCTTGCCAGCAGAGGGTGCTGTCAGCCTCCCGCTGCTGCTCCCTATGCTCAGCCTGTCCCTTGCCTACAGGGAGCCAGCGCCACTTGCTGCTGCTTGGAGGTTCTCCGGTAGGACACAAGGCCCCGACATGGTTGGGGGGTAGCTGAGAGTGGCTTCCACAAGCCTGCTGTCATGGAGGGCACACGTGAACGATGGCCTGAAGCTACAGCCAGGGACCAAAGCAACTGCTGTTTGCCTGGTGACTTTGCTCTTGTCTCGAGCGGAGGGCTCTTGCCCACCTGGACTTAAGACAGTCTGAGCAATGCAGTGGTCAAAGCAGGCAAGGTGGCTGTGGGTGCTGTCTTAGTCTCAGGAGGAGTGACCCAGTGCAGCAACAAAGGGCAGGGACTCTGCCAAGCGGTGAAGATCAGACATTTAGTGTTTCATTTTTACAGCATATATAGTTTCTCTCTTTTGATCACGCGCTGTGTGTCTACACAGATAGGTTGTGGGGACCTGTCCACATGCCGTTATGAGCAATACAGTTTGCTACATATAAGTGTTCATGCACCTTGGCTAATTAGTCATTATTATTTGTTTTGGTATATTGTTACCTATTTTGTTAGCTTGCTATCTATTTCACATTGCCTTCACATTACCATGTAAGGACATTGTTTACTGTTCTCAAGGCTTCCTTCCCATCAATGCAAGAACACCTGCCAAGCTCTCGCTCAGCAGCGCGTCGCCACAATTCCTCACTCCCCACAACCCAGCATTGAGGCAGTGGTGCAGATTCTGTGCTGATGCCACGAATCTCCCCTAGATCTGCTCATTACATTTCTGAAGCTGATCTGTCCGTGGGCAGAGGAGCAGCCGTGGGGTCAGGCCTTGCTGAGGAACAGATCCAGGGAGGCTGCTGTAGGAGTAGGTCATATTCATATGAAGATCATATTCTAGCTATAGATCTGCAGCATACCTAGGCCTGTCTCCTTTGTGGATGTCTGTTTTTAGGGGGAGACACACCAGTGACCGTATCAGGGCTTGCCTGGTAGAGTAGCCGGAGAACTGAGAATGCTTTTGCAAGACTGGTATGAGGGACCAGAAGGCTGGGCTAGCCAGGCGCACAGATCAGCAGCTGGTTCAAGACCCATCTGCGAATGATCTGAGTGCAAGGAAACGTTTTGATTCTTGGTGTTTGTGGTGGGTTAACTGTGGTTGGCCACCAGATGCCCACCAAGATGCTCCCTCTCCCTCCTCAATAGGGTAGGGGAGAAAATGCAATGGAAAAGATCATGGGTTGAGGTAAGGACAGTGAGCTCACTCAGCAGTTACTGTCAGGGGCAGAACAAACTTATGGAAATTAATTAAATTAGTAACAGTAGGATAAAGAGAATTTAAAACAAAACTAAAATCACCTTCCTTCTCATCCACCCTTCTTTCCAGACTCACTTCACTCCCAGCTCTTCTACCCCTTTTCCCCCCAGTGGTGTAGGAGGGCAGGGAATAGAGGTTGTCAGTGCATCACACATTGTCTCTGCTGCTCCTTCCTCCTCATACCCTTCCCCTGCTGTAGTGTGGGGTCCCTCTCACAGAAGACAATCCTCCATGAGCTCCTCCAGCACTGGTTCTTCCCATGGGCTGCAGTTCTTCACGAGCTGCTCCAGTGTGGGTCCCTCATGGGGTCCCAAGTCCTGCCGGAAAACCTGTTCCAGTGTGGGCTCCTCTCCCTGTGGCCACAGGTCCTGTCAGGAGCCTGCTCCAGCGAAGGCTCTCCATGGGGGTCACAGTCTCCTTCGGGCACCCACATGTTCCATCGTGGAGCTGTAGGGGGATACGTGCTCCAACCATGGACCTCCATGGGCCGCAGGGGGATGCATGCTCTGCCGTGGACGTCCATGGGTTGCAGAGGGATATCTGCTCCCCACCTCACTCTGTGAGCTGCAGGGTTGAGGTTAGGTGGAGGGGTGAGCTGGGCTTTTGTGGAGGGAAGCACTCTTTGGGGTGTTGCTGGACCTCGTCAGCCAGCGGTCGCCTGTCTGGCTGGCATTTTCACTCTTGCCAGCAGAGGGTGCTGTCAGCCTCCCGCTGCTGCTCCCTATGCTCAGCCTGTCCCTTGCCTACAGGGAGCCAGCGCCACTTGCTGCTGCTTGGAGGTTCTCCGGTAGGACACAAGGCCCCGACATGGTTGGGGGGTAGCTGAGAGTGGCTTCCACAAGCCTGCTGTCATGGAGGGCACACGTGAACGATGGCCTGAAGCTACAGCCAGGGACCAAAGCAACTGCTGTTTGCCTGGTGACTTTGCTCTTGTCTCGAGCGGAGGGCTCTTGCCCACCTGGACTTAAGACAGTCTGAGCAATGCAGTGGTCAAAGCAGGCAAGGTGGCTGTGGGTGCTGTCTTAGTCTCAGGAGGAGTGACCCAGTGCAGCAACAAAGGGCAGGGACTCTGCCAAGCGGTGAAGATCAGACATTTAGTGTTTCATTTTTACAGCATATATAGTTTCTCTCTTTTGATCACGCGCTGTGTGTCTACACAGATAGGTTGTGGGGACCTGTCCACATGCCGTTATGAGCAATACAGTTTGCTACATATAAGTGTTCATGCACCTTGGCTAATTAGTCATTATTATTTGTTTTGGTATATTGTTACCTATTTTGTTAGCTTGCTATCTATTTCACATTGCCTTCACATTACCATGTAAGGACATTGTTTACTGTTCTCAAGGCTTCCTTCCCATCAATGCAAGAACACCTGCCAAGCTCTCGCTCAGCAGCGCGTCGCCACAATTCCTCACTCCCCACAACCCAGCATTGAGGCAGTGGTGCAGATTCTGTGCTGATGCCACGAATCTCCCCTAGATCTGCTCATTACATTTCTGAAGCTGATCTGTCCGTGGGCAGAGGAGCAGCCGTGGGGTCAGGCCTTGCTGAGGAACAGATCCAGGGAGGCTGCTGTAGGAGTAGGTCATATTCATATGAAGATCATATTCTAGCTATAGATCTGCAGCATACCTAGGCCTGTCTCCTTTGTGGATGTCTGTTTTTAGGGGGAGACACACCAGTGACCGTATCAGGGCTTGCCTGGTAGAGTAGCCGGAGAACTGAGAATGCTTTTGCAAGACTGGTATGAGGGACCAGAAGGCTGGGCTAGCCAGGCGCACAGATCAGCAGCTGGTTCAAGACCCATCTGCGAATGATCTGAGTGCAAGGAAACGTTTTGATTCTTGGTGTTTGTGGTGGGTTAACTGTGGTTGGCCACCAGATGCCCACCAAGATGCTCCCTCTCCCTCCTCAATAGGGTAGGGGAGAAAATGCAATGGAAAAGATCATGGGTTGAGGTAAGGACAGTGAGCTCACTCAGCAGTTACTGTCAGGGGCAGAACAAACTTATGGAAATTAATTAAATTAGTAACAGTAGGATAAAGAGAATTTAAAACAAAACTAAAATCACCTTCCTTCTCATCCACCCTTCTTTCCAGACTCACTTCACTCCCAGCTCTTCTACCCCTTTTCCCCCCAGTGGTGTAGGAGGGCAGGGAATAGAGGTTGTCAGTGCATCACACATTGTCTCTGCTGCTCCTTCCTCCTCATACCCTTCCCCTGCTGTAGTGTGGGGTCCCTCTCACAGAAGACAATCCTCCATGAGCTCCTCCAGCACTGGTTCTTCCCATGGGCTGCAGTTCTTCACGAGCTGCTCCAGTGTGGGTCCCTCATGGGGTCCCAAGTCCTGCCGGAAAACCTGTTCCAGTGTGGGCTCCTCTCCCTGTGGCCACAGGTCCTGTCAGGAGCCTGCTCCAGCGAAGGCTCTCCATGGGGGTCACAGTCTCCTTCGGGCACCCACATGTTCCATCGTGGAGCTGTAGGGGGATACGTGCTCCAACCATGGACCTCCATGGGCCGCAGGGGGATGCATGCTCTGCCGTGGACGTCCATGGGTTGCAGAGGGATATCTGCTCCCCACCTCACTCTGTGAGCTGCAGGGTGACAGCCTGCCTCACCATGGTCTTCACCACAGGCTGCAGGGGAACCCTACTCTGGTGCCAGCAGCACGTCTTCCCTCTCCTTCTTCACTGACCTTGGCCTCTGCAGAGCTGTTTCTCTCACATATTCTGACTTTTCTCTTCTAGCTGCTGCACAGCATTTGTTACTCTTTCTTCAGTATGTTATCACAGAAGTGCCGCTTGCTGGCGGTGGGTCTGTCTTGGAGCCATCTCTGTCTGACATGGGTGCAGCTCTTGGTGTCTTCTCACAGAAGCTGCCCCAGCTCCCTCCATTACAAAAACCTTGCCACACAAACCAAGTGGATTTTTTTTTCCTACTTACATTCCCTGAATCTGCTGCATGAGTGTGAATCTGATTCCTGTTGTGAGGTTTTTTGTGCCATGGCTTTTTGGTTGTGCCTGGAACAGAAAGAGCAGCAGCTAAACAGAGAGAGCTCAATACAAAGGTGTGCTTCCACCAGAGGAAAAGGCCTGTTGTATCTGACGCATGGGTTCTTGCCCACAGGTTATGACTGTCCGGCTACGGAAGGGATCTTTGAGTACGCAGCAGCCGTGGGAGGAGCCACCATCACTGCAGCCCAGTGCCTGCTGGACGGCAAGTGCAAGGTAGCGATTAACTGGCCTGGAGGGTGGCATCATGCAAAGAAGTAAGAAAACAATCTCTTCCCTTGTGTTTTGTCACCACGTGTCTGAACCCTGCTTCCTAGGTCCCAGCCTCCCTGTGAACCCTCAGGATGCAGGCATCCAGTTGGAAAGAGAGCAAGGTGTGGGGAGGGGTGAGGGAAGGCAGGAGGTAGATAGGAAAGAAGCAGAGTGTAGGGCAGAGGCCTGAAAGTAGGCTGGTACTGCCCAGTCTTGGTGATATCGTGGACTGCCTTGCGAGTCTGGGGCAGATAAATTCAGAAGTTTCCCACCATCCGTTGGTACTTGGTTATTTCTGGGAGTTCAAGTGAGAATTGAATTTGCAAAGTCCGTAGAGAAGGGCTGTGGAGAGGCAAACGGTGTCGCTCCTGGCTTGGAAGAGAATGGGAACATGGCAACGTGTTGCCCAAATTGTTTTGTGTGGCTTTTTTTGTTTCTTAATAAGAGGTTTGAAAAGGTGCAGGACTGATGTCTGGTTTTCCCTGTGGTCTCTGGGTGGCTGCTTGCTCTGAGTTGTAGTGTCAATAACAGCAGGAATAACAGGAGAAGTAGTCAAAAATTTGTCCTCGAATCCTGTGATTCTGTAGTGGTAAAATAATTTGTTCCCACGGCTTCCCTGTTTCCCATGGATATATGTTTTATTTTAACTTGTGTCTCCCGTCTCCCAAAACATGAGGCCTGTCTGCACATGCGGACAAGACAGCACCCTCCCTTGTCCCCAGCTAACTGGCCTTTGCAGTGCTGTTCTGTTTCCTGGGAAGCCCCAGAAATGAGCATGAACCACGTGTCTAACCCTAACAGCGTGTACATGAGGACACAGGTTTCTATTCTTGCTGCAGTGCCTCTTCTGACCTGGCAGAGAAACTCTGGAGGTGTAATGGTGGTTTGCAAACTCCAGCGACGGCAGCGTACCCTGCCAAGCCCGCCATGGGCCAGGGCCTCTCTGCAGCAGAACCAGTGATGCTTTACCAGCTGCCAGCAAGCCCAGGGTTGAGAAGTGATTGGCATGAGCAGTTGTGTTCTCTGTGTTTTCTAGCCACGCTTTGAGCTGCTCCTGACCCGTCCCTTGGTCATTGCTGGGCACTGACTGGGCTCTTTGCCTTCCTCTACCCCTGCGAGGTGGATACTTGAAAGTAAAAGTGACAGTGCTGAGATCGGGGGTGATGGCATTGGCGATGTTCAACCTCACAGATGCTGTTTTCACAGAGATGAAGCTTCTGGCTTCTGTTACCTGAACGATGCTGTCTTGGGGATCCTGCGGCTGCGCCAGAAATTTGACCGTGTCCTTTATATTGATTTGGATTTGCATCATGGGGATGGTAAGGCACAGGGCAGGCTGCAAGCAGCCCAGACACACAGACTCAGAGGGAGGAATGGGAGAAGTCAAGGCCTGTCAGGGCAGTAGGGCTTCACCTGCAGCAACTGCCGTGGCTTTGCCTCCTTTCAGTACGAGTTCCTTCAATCTGTTTCTGCCTTGTCCTGCTTTCTGGATTTGCCCTGTGCTGCTCATCAGACCTCTCTTGAGGGTCTGGGCAGCAGTTTTTTACTTAAAGCAACAAACAGTGCATTCCCATCTCGGTAATCCCCTCTGCCAAGGGCTCTCCAGCAAGGACTTTCCCCAGTCCCTTGTCTCCCATCCTGGCAGAACAGCTGCTGACAGTGCTTAATAGTTTAATGCCACCACAGTGAGAGGGAAGCAGTCAGCAGTAAATGTTGCTTTTAAAAGAAGGCTTGGTACTATAAAACTAGAGCCAGAGCTGGCCATGCTCTCTCCTTCGGGGATGTTATTTCAACACCATTTAAATGTCCTACTCCCTAAATTTTATGGTGTGTTTCATTTTCCTCTGTTTTCCCCCCACATTTGGTTTCTGTTAAATTTCCTGTCACTTCTTTTTCCCTCACCACCCCCACTATTTTAATGTCTTTAAAGAAAAGAAAAGACAAGACGTGTTAAACTACAGCAGCACTGAGAAAAAACGAGAGAGCCCGGTAGCTCTGGGTCTAATCAGAGCCAAGCTCTGGCCAAGGCATCCCCCCTCAGCTCCCTCCCCCGGCCTTGCAGGCCAAGCAGTGCAGTGAGTGCTGCTAATGTGGGTGCTGAGCTGAGGTATCGAGACCCATTCATGCTGATTAGCATGAGACCCACCAAATTTATTTCAGTGGTGACCTTTGCTGCAGTTGAATTTGAGTCTATGTTAAGAATGGATTTATTTAGCACTCTGTTTGGTGCCCTGTGTTTATCAGGTGACTCATTTGTGTGTTTAGACTCTGTCATTTGTGAATGATGCATGAAAGCTTTTTTCTCTTACATTTTCTGATAGGAGTTGAAGATGCCTTTAGTTTCACCTCTAAAGTCATGACTGTTTCTCTGCACAAGTTTTCACCAGGATTTTTCCCAGGCAAGTTGAACTTGTGAGGTTTGTGCTAATTCGGTTCTTGCATCACTGGCAAGGTCCCAGCAGAGGCAAGTCCATCCCTTCTGTCCAGTATAGCTTTCTCCCTGCCTCTCCTGTCGACCCAGGAGAGAGAACGAGGACTGAACTACATTTGGCATTTCTCCCTGATTGTGGTTGAGTTCTGGACAGCCGCCCACAGCCCTTCAAAGCTGCATGACAGAATTGAGCAAAGGGCAAGAACCATGTTCATCCAGCCCTTCTTTTATTGGTGGTGGCAAGTGGACCTCTCCGTAAGCATGCCAAGGAACCTGGCTCTCTGCTCTCATCTGAGACATCCCATGTGTTTCTCTTGCTGCTGATCCCTTTTCCCCCATAGTTAACCATAGCTAACCTCATAGTAAACCATGGGGTGTTTCTGTTTTTCAGGCACAGGTGATGTGACAGATGTTGGCCTGGGGAAAGGTCGCTATTACAGCGTGAATGTACCTATTCAAGATGGCATTCAGGATGAGAAATATTACCAGATCTGTGAAACGTAAGCCCACTTGCTCTGATATAGTTTTTTTCACATGGGATTTTAGAGCACAGAGACTACACAGACCGCCCTGGGCTCAGTGTAGTACTTTGGGTGCAGTGACTGGCTAAGTTTCTTGAGGTGAGTACTGGTAAATGCAAGCTCTTTGTCATGGATAAACAGCGCTCTCGTTTGGCACCACAGAAGTTTCTAATTGCATATCAAATAAGAACTGGTGATGCTTAGGTTCTCTTAACAAAGGCAAAAACATTTATTCAAGGGATCACATCTGTTTCTACTTTAGCAAAATAAAAACATTGTCGTGAAAGAAACATGTTTTCTCCATTATTTGCCTTGTATTTTGGGCTTTGGAGCACAGTGCTGGGAAAAGGGTTATTCCCTTTGTAGTGTTCGTAACACTAAAAATCTCCTGGAGCAAAGCTAGATGCTTGACGTGCCCAGTTGCCTTCTGCAAGGGAGAATACTTCTAATAAACTGTCTCGAGGACACCAGTGTCTGCTACAGCCAGGGGAAATGTAGTTCTGCCCCAAGAGCCATATGGGAGAGAGGAGAGTGAGAACCTCAACAGAGCCTTCCTGTGTTCATCCTGTCCTGGTGAGAGGTGTCTGAGCATTTAGGAATGTTGTCTCACCAGACCCCCCTCTTCACTGTGACTTTTACGGGGGAGAAAAAACCCCTGGATTTGGTTTGTAGCCCTTCTGCCCAGGGTGGCCAATGTCAATGTGTGGTTCGATGCTACCACCAAGATGTTCAGGGCTAGATCCCCCTCCCCTGTGCTCTCAGTGATGCTTTTGCTTTGTGGTGAGCGCTTTGAGAGCTAAACTTACTGCAGGAGAGTATAAGAGGCAGAGGGTTAACTGGGAGCAGAGGGGGTGGGAGCAGAGAATACAGAAAGGCACCAGTGGATCTGAGGGATTAGGACTACGCTACCAGCATCCCTCTGAACTGCATTTGCAGTAACCCTCATGGCTTCTCCTCCCCACAGCGTGCTGAAGGAGGTGTATGCCGCCTTCAATCCAGACGCGGTTGTGCTGCAGCTGGGGGCAGACACCATCGCCGGAGACCCTATGTGCTCTTTCAACATGACGCCGGAGGGAGTGGGCAAGTGTCTGAAGTACGTCCTGCAGTGGCAGCTGGCGACTCTCATCCTGGGAGGAGGTGAGTGCAGCTGTTCACAAAGAATCAGGTTTGTCCTCCTGCAACCCTTCCTTGAGCCTGTGCCCTGGGGCTCAGCACTGGCTGGGGTTTAGCCGGGTGGCTGCTGGGCAGCATCAGGAGGATGCTCTGGCATGATACTGTTTTCACACAGACCTGAAATCCTTGATCCAGCAGGTGCAAGTCTCAGTCCTGACGCCAAGATCTTGAGTTAAAGGCTGCTTGGTTCCTCCAGAGGAGAGCAGAGGCTGTTAACCCCAATGAACAGACCCTGGCTTCCCATAGGGACCTAATGAGCTTCATGTTTGTCCTGTCAAACATGGCTGTGCTGAAGAGCTTACCAGCAAATGGCTGGAAATGTGTTTTATGCTTCATGGGTTGAAGATGCACTAAAAATCAGAAATCCCCTGCCCCCACTGCTGCCCTTGCACTTTTCCCCCGGTACCTTCAAACATCTCTCCTTGTTGGCAGGAGAGAGCCCAGTGCTTGGGGCCAGGGGCTTGTGCAGGGTCCAAGATGGTGGCTGGAGAAGCCTGTCTTGTCCCACGCTGGCTGTAACTGAAGTTCAGTCTGGGAGGTCTGCCCTTGCGTACAGTGTCATTGGGACCTGGCCTCCTGTAGCCATCAGGTTCAAAATGAAGTTCTTGGGCACAACTTGAGTGGATTAAATAAGCTGAATTCATGTAAAATGCATGTGTGGCCTCCACAATTTGTTCCTTCCACTAAAATATCTCTCTCTCTCTTCCCTTTCCCTATTCTTCCCCCTCCAAAATCACAATTCTTGCTGGAGACAGGAGGCTACAACCTTGCCAACACAGCTCGCTGCTGGACATACTTGACTGGGGTCATCCTTGGGAGAACGCTGTCCTCCGAGATCCCTGATCATGAGGTAAAGCTCTGACAAACCCTTCCTTCTCCTTGTGCAAGAGCCGAGTCATTCTACCTAATCCAAACAGCATCCTTGCTGCTCAATAATCTTTTATTGAGACACTCCTGTAACAATAACGCACTGTCCTAGCAGCATAGCGGGTGCTTGTTCCCAAAACCCAAGGCTGTTGCATCTTTTTGCAAGATGTCTCAGGCACCAATAAACTCCAGTCTCAGATAATTACAGAGGGGATAGGGAGGGGGAGTTACCTGTCTGCTCAAAGAGCTCTTTAGGATGTCTGTGCACTTTTGCCAGGAAAGAGCCAGGCCTTTCTCAAGGCTTTAAATTTGATTTCTTTGACTTACAGACAGTACCAGGCGCAACTCTGGAGCTTTTCTGGCCAGCAGCAGCCTTGCTGCAGGCCATGGGGCCACATGAGCTGTCTCGGTTCCAGTGCTAGCGCTTTTGAAGTCTTGAGGGGGCTGGTTTGAGGCATGCGATCTAGGACTCATACAGCAGATCAATGTTACTGACCCTAGAGAAACACACCTGCACTTGCAAAGCAGTTCCAGCCTACGGTGACTACAGAGAATTATGGTTTTGCCTTTGTCTAAGGATCTCACAGACCAGTGTGCATGAGGAAGTAAAGTGTTTGTGTGGGTTGAAACTGGAAATTCATCATTATAGAAACAGATACAAGAGGGTTTTTGAGAGGTGTTATCCTTAAATATGATCCTTTAATTAGGGGTGCGAGGCAGTGGGGGGGGGCGAGGTGAGCTCTCATCCCCAACCTTCTGGCTGCTGCTGCTGCCCACCTAGGGGTTATTTCCTGGGGAGAAGTTAACCATGTTGCTCTGTTTTGCACCCAGCCGGGGAGATTCTGCCTCTGTGTGATCATGTGCTCTGGCTGCACTTGCTGGAATCAAGAGTTTTGTGTGAGGTGCCGACTGCATATGTCCATCCAGGCAGCAGTGAGCCGACAGCACGTTTGGTATTGGGCCCAGTATGGTGCTTGCAGGGCCCTTTTTAAACATGATGTGATGGGGAAGGAGGTGTTGGCAGCCAAATGCCAGTGACCAGCACAGGGGGTGCTGACAGTACAGGCCACCACTGCTGTGGGAGGAGGTCCTGGGTCAGAGTCCCTGTAGGCCTGTAAAGGCCTTTGTTCTTGAATTCAATCTCTTATGTGCTTTTTGTGGCCAGGGATCAAAGAGGCAAGCTGTGGCCCTGTTAAAATACTGCAAACTGAACACAGTCACATTCCTGAACTCCTGCCCTCCCCTCCCGGGGACCCCAGGAGAGTTAGAAGCAGGAGAAGTGGAATCTCAGCCCTGTCAAGGGAACAAAAAGCACTTTATACCTATTGAACAACCTCCGCTCCACTCGCCACCCCGCTGACTGCCTCTACTGCTCCCAGCAGTGAGCAAAGAGGAGACCAGGCCTCTCTGGGGGGGATGCAAAGGGCTTGGGGCAGGGAATGGGATAATCTGCATTGCTGGGGGATGGAGGGGAGGGCGGGAAGCTGTCACAAAGCCCTGCTTGTAAGTGAAGCCCTTTAGTTGTTTCTTGGTGATGCACTGGGGCATGTTCAAGTGTCTGCTGGGCACCTGGCCCGGCAGACGGCAAGTCCCAAAAGGCAACAGTTATTCTGCAGACCTGAAGAGAATTGGGAAGTGGAGTTGAACCCTCTGTAGCAAAAACCATTTCCCCTTCCCAACCCGCAAGAGCTTTCTTCCCAAACCATGCGTCTGAGATTTTTTTTTCCCCACGTGCTATAAGAAACAGTTATCTCATGGTTATATCTACTGCAAGGGTTTTTCTTTCTCCCTGTCCCGGACACCGGACTCTCCGCTCACTTGACATGTTGTGATGATCTTAAATAGCATGGGAGTGTACAATCTGGAGGATAGTACCTCCTTCATGTCAAGTGAGCAGTATTGTCCAGGAAGCTGTCAGTCTGTCTGCCTGACTCCTTTCTGCCGAAGTAGCTGATAGCACATGCAGGGGGGTGAGTATAAAGAATAGTCTGAACAGAGTTTCTCTGGGTGCTTTTCCAGTTTTCTGTGATGTGTGGCCAAGAAATATCCTGCTATGTCTCTGTTTGCCCATTGGTAAGATGTAAGGCTTGGTTTGTGAGAGGATTCAGCATTATTATGGTACTTAGATGTTTAATCTGGTTCTGGGGGCAGCTGTGGGTGTTCAGCACTTCTCCAAACCTGTCCTTGCCAAGCAAGACCCTGGGTAAAAGGAAGAGTGCAAGGCTAGCGGCTGGCCATGCACAGTGGGCTCTATGGGACTTGCTGAGTGCATGCAGGAAAGGAGGTGGCTGCTTCTCCAGGGTGGCACGTTTCGGGCCATTCTTTTGGTTTCTGTAATTCATTGCTCTTCATCCAGTCCTTGACAGGGCTGAATTGGCTGAGCTTCTGGTTTGGAGCAAGGCAGGGATGTTTGGTTGTATGCCAAGATGTGATCCAATATGCAGCTTGCGTGGGGTAACAGTAAAGATAAGGGCTTTAATCCTGTCCATTAAAATCCTGCCTACCATAAATGAGGTGGGGGTATTACACCTGAGAGCCTGCTCTGCCATCTTGGCTTGAGTTCCTTGGAGCAATTTTAGGCACCTCATGGAATGAGGATGACAGGTCCGATGTCCATAGCACCAAGGTTTCAGTTGATGCAAAGGTCCGTACCCTTGTAACAGACAGAACTCACACGTGTGCAGCAGTCTCCGTCTGCATCATCTGAGTTTTCTGTCTTCTGGGTACTCTTCAACGGTTTGGGAGTCATGGGTAGGTTATCCTTGCCTGTTGCCTCCAGCCTGCGTATTACAACCTGTAAGTCTTGCTGTCTGCAGGAAATGTGGGGTTTCTCTGTGTGAGAAGGTTGGTAAAAGATAACCTGTGAGGGGATATATTGGGCTAGTACCAGTTTCCAGGATGCTGGGGAATCCACCACTTCCCTGGGGAGATTAGTCCATTGGCTGATTGTTCTCATTGTAAAAATTTTCCTATTGTGTCCAATTGGAATCTCCCCAGGAGTAACTTGTACCTGTTACCCCTTGTCTTTTCCATGTGCCTCCTTGTAATAAAGGAGTCTCTCCATCTCCTTTGTAGCCACCCTTTAAATATTGGAACGTAGTGACAAGGTCTCCCCTAAACCTTCTTTTGTCAAGGCTAAACAAACCCAGTTCTCTCAGCCTTTCCTCATACTCAGACTTCCGTCCTTGGATCATATTTATGGCCCTTCTCTGGACCCTCTCCAGCCTCCGCTCATCTCTTTTGTATAGTGGGGTCCAAAACTGAACACCCAAACCCAGTTCTCTCAGCCTTTCCTCATACTCAGACTTCCGTCCTTGGATCATATTTATGGCCCTTCTCTGGACCCTCTCCAGCCTCCGCTCATCTCTTTTGTATAGTGGGGTCCAAAACTGAACACCGTATTCCAGGTGTGGCCTGACCAGCACTGAGTAGAGTGGGATAATGACTTCTTTATCTCTGCTGGTGATGCCCTTCTTGATGCAACCCAGCATCCCCTTGGCTTTCTTTGCTGCAACAGCACACTGTTCGCTCATATTGAGCTTGTTGTCACCAGGACCCTCAGGTCCCTTTCCACAGAGCTGCTCCGCAGCTGGGTAGATCCCAGCCTGTGCTGAACTCCTGGATTATGTTTTCTCAGGTGTGAGACTTGTCCTTGTTGAACTTCACAAGGTTCCATCTAGCGCACTCGTCCAGCCTGTCCAGGTCTTCCTGAAGGGTGGCTCTCCCTTCCAAAGTTTTCGCTTCTCCACTCAGTTCGGTATCATCAGCAAACTTCTTCAGGGCACACTTGATCCCATCACCCAAATCACTTCTGAAGATATTAAACAGCGTTGGCCTTAGTAGCGATCCCTGGAGTATTTCACTTGTGACAGGGCGACAGTTTGAACAGGAGCTATTGCCCACCACCCTCTGGTTGATGGGTCAGCTGGTTCCCTCCCAACCCTACAGACCACTTGTCTGGACCATAACACATCCGTTTCTCCAGGAGGTTGTGGGGAACCATGTCAAAAGCCTTGGAGAAATCCAGGTAGACAGGGCCACTGCTTGCCCCACATCAAATCTTCCTGAAGGGTGGCTCTCCCTTCCAAAGTTTTCGCTTCTCCACTCAGTTCGGTATCATCAGCAAACTTCTTCAGGGCACACTTGATCCCATCACCCAGATCACTTCTGAAGATATTAAACAGTGTTGGCCTTAGTATCGATCCCTGGAGTATTTCACTTGTGACAGGTAGACAGTTTGAACAGGAGCTATTGACCACCACCCTCTGGGTGCTGGGTCAGCTGGTTCCCTCCCCACCCTACAGACCACTTGTCTGGACCATAACACATCCGTTTCTCCAGGAGGTTGTGGGGAACCATGTCAAAAGCCTTGGAGAAATCCAGGTAGACAGGGCCACTGCTTGCCCCACATCAAATGAGCAGGTTACTTTGTTGTAGAAGGTGATCAGGTCTGTCAAGTGCAATTTTCTCTTAGTGAATCTGTGCTGTCTTCCCAATCATTAGCCTTTAGGTGTCATTAGCCTTCTTCCAGGCTTCTGGGATGTCCCCCGATCTCCATGGCTTCTCAAAGATTTTGGAGAGCAGCCTCACAATGACATCAGCCAGCTCTTAACACCCTTGGGTGGATAACATTAGGGATGGATGTTGGTCTTTGGTTGCCAGATATGCCACCTCCAGTCTCACCTTTAAAGAAAACCCCAGCGTTGTACATCATTACGTTTGGAAGACGTCTTGGAAGACTATGATGCTGTGAATTTCCCTATCTTTGGTACCATAGCTTTAAGTCTGGACTAGCTCTCCACGGGGTGAAGCTCTCCAGGGGTAGCAACAGGACCGATTGCAACTTCACTGCTGAATTTTTAAGCCTGGTGTATCTGCCTCTTTGCTCAGTGCTGCGTGCTTGTGAAATAAAACCGCTGGCAGTAATTTGTGATTCTGCATTATTCTGTAGAGCCCATGTATTGCAGGTTTACTCATTCAGGCTCAGTTGCACACTGTTGGAGCACTCGGGCAGGAATGACACATTATTAACCTTGAAGTACTCTGATTTTTCTCCTTGCAGGTATTTCACAGTTAGGTCAGTGCAGCACTGTGCCAAAAGGAAGCCAAAAGGAAGGATATCTTGAATTTTGTTCATAAAAAAATCAGGTTTGCAGGTAACTATGTGTAAAAAGAGTGTCAACAGCTTTCCCAAATAAAGCATTGGGATAGAGGTGAGACTGCTCTTGGCTGCACCCCTGAGCTCTGCTTCCCAAGCCCTTGAATTGGTAGTAGTTGAAAACTTCAGGTAGACACAGACACAGCAGAAGCACTTCTTTGATGTGGTTGAGCACCTGTGTGAGCCAATGCAGGCAGAGTGCAGGAACAACTGCAAAACCACAGATTAAAGGCAGAGAACAAATTTAATCTCAATACCTAATGGATCAGGGAACCTCTGAAGCAGCACCTGGGCAGAGGCAGTCAAGCAGAGGGTGCAGGCATCGCGGAGTGAGAGTCCTTATTAGCGAGAGAGTCCTCGTTATCAAGAAAGCAAGAGAGCTCACTAACCTCTGAAGCAGCACCTGGGCAGAGGCAGTCAAGCAGAGGGTGCAGGCATCGCGGAGTGAGAGTCCTTATTAGCGAGAGAGTCCTCGTTATCAAGAAAGCAAGAGAGCTCACTCTTGTTGTTTGGGCCTGTATTTCAAGGATTCAGGCAGGCAGAGTTTTCTGCTGTGCTTTGATCTCTCCAACAGCAGGGCAGTTGAAGAGCATGATCGATAAGATGCCCCTGAGTCCATCCCAGGCCTATGTTGTCTAAGTACAGATGTTCTACTTGTTGAACACACAAAACTAAGCAACAATTAGTGTGATATATGTGTTTTCCAGCACCCCACATGCGAGTCACTTGAGCGTGTTTACAGTCCTCCTCACCAATCTTCCATAACTTTCCCACAGCACCCCTCAGATGGAGAAAATGTTTTTGCCTTTTTATAAACAGGTACCCATGGGGGAGCCTTCCCTCCAGCCTCAACCAGCCAGAGATCTCTCTGCTGACTCTCCTCTCCTCTCCCCTGCAGTTCTTCACAGAGTACGGTCCTGATTATGTGCTGGAGATCACACCGAGCTGCAGACCAGATCGCAATGAGCCACAGAGAATTCAAGAAATTCTAAACTCCATCAAAGGTGAGTTGTCCAGGCCAACACTCCTGCTTTAGGCTTACAGGTCTTTTTAGAGAAGACTTCAGGAAAGGTCATTGGGGTCTTTCTCGCTCACTAGAAAGATGAACCACATTCACTTGACTGCTCATCATGTACAACATCTCCTGCTTCACTTGGGAATCTCAGTGTTAGTAGCACATGTCTCGGAGCTGTTGGGTCCCTGTTAGCGTAAACTGTTGCCTTTCCTCTGGCTGGGCAGAGGAGCACAGGGGCTCGTCCCTATTAGAATCATAGAACAGCCTAGGTTGTAAGGGACTATCTGATGCAACCTTTCCTGAGATTATCTAGCACCCTGTCCAGTTGCATTTAAAAAACTGCCTTCCTGGGGAGGTTGTTCCAGTGATTGATTGTTCTCACTGTAAAAAAAATTTATTTCTTACAGTGAGGTGAAACCCGTTGCTCCTTGTCCTCTCCATGTGGTTCCTTGTGAAGAGAGAGAGCCTGTGTTCTCTCTGTAGCTGCCCTTCAAATACTGAAATACTGTCATGAGGTCCTCCTGAGCCTTCTCTTCACCCAACTCCTGGGAGGAGGTGCAAACCCTCCAGACCGGACTGTGCCTGTCCTTTGGAGATGGGTGACTTCAATGTGGTTGAAATGCTTCTTTGGAAGTGTTTGGTCACAGCTCGCCCATCTGTCTTGTCCTTGTCCCCAGGAGGAGCTGGGGACACCAAGACAGGGCTTGGCAACCATTTTCATTCACTCTCTGTGCGTGCTGTGATGTGTTGGTGTTGGAAGCAGAGTAGGAGAAGATGGGTGAGAGTTGTGATGGCTGTGGATGCCCAGGGGTGTCCTTTCCCAAGCACAGGCCAATCCTAAGGAGGGGACATCCCCTCTGACCTGTCCAGGAGGAGGAACAGCATCACTCCAGAGCTGGCAGGGAGGGATCTGTGCTGAGCACTCCTGGCAGCACATCCAGCCCTGAGGAAGGACAAGGCAGCATGGAGTGAGCGTGTGCCCCCCGGAGGTGGCCCATGAACCCCAAACAGCAATTATCCCACAGGAGGAACTCACAGCAGAGGCGGTGGCAGGGTCTCCCTTTGGTGGTTGCCCGGGTCTGGCTCGGAGAAGGGCAGCTGGGGCCAGCGGGGACTGGCGTCTGCACTGACGCTGGAGTCTGCACTATTGCTGCCTGCTCCATCAGGCATAGGAGTGGCAGCCCTGGCTGGGCCACTCCATCAGGCTGAAATATCAGTGGAAATATCATTTTCTGTCTCCTTTTGTTTGCAGGGAATCTGAAGCACGTTGTTTAGCAGAGAAGGAAGGCTCAGGTTTCCGCAAGAGCATTTCCTGTGGGGAAGACAGCGTGTTTATGTGAGCAGCTGGTGAAATTTGTGGCTGCCGGAGAAATTTGGAAGAAATTACTGTTGATTGGTTCATTATTTTCTCTTTAAAGAAGAAAAGCTGCTGTGCACCACGAGCAGCGTGACTCTCCCCAGGCAGGAGTGTGGGCTCTCCAGCCACAGTCTTACAGGGTTGGCAGAGCCTCCTTTCTCTGTCCTTTTTAACACCACAGAGTTTAGTCTCACAACTGTTTTTTAATGTTTTTTAAGAGAGGAGCTGATCAGAGCTGAGACTGCTCCCCAGCTGGAGCCCTGTGCCCAGTTGCCTTCTGTCAGGAGCATGGCCCCTGGGGCAGGGGCTGTGCCTCTTACTCACAGAAAGGCTCAGGCACTGTGTTTTTTTCACTGGGATTTTTTTTTTTTTTTTAATAAAGTATTTGAAATACTCCTTCAGCCCTTTCCTTTCTTCCTGCACCCATCCTGCCTTGCCAATGCTCTTTTTCCACAGCAGTTCACGTGTTCAGTGGATGTCCAGCCAGTGCTGGAAAGCAAAGATCTGCTGTCCCTTCCAGCTCCATCACTTAAGGCAGCACAACCCCCCCCAGGTAATGGGTGGGCTCCTGAAATGCTGTGTGGAGGGGCCAGAGCCCAGGACTCTCCAGAGTGTCAAGGGAGATGTAGGGCAGGTTGGCAGCTCCTGTCACAGGAGATCTTGGATGAACTTCTGGCTGCCCCATGGAGCTTCCACTCAGTGTCTCGGGAAGGGGACAGGTACGGAGTTATCTGGGGCAGATCCCTCCTGGTACCTCTGGCTGTGGAGCCTGGCCTCTCTGCCCTTGTCTCCTCTTTCATCTGGTCCGTGGAGCTTCTATTTGTGCCATTTCTTTTTAACGATGTCCAGGCACTGTGGGAAAGCATATCTCGTATTGCTTTAATTGCATCACGCTGGAATAAATAGCAAGGCGAAGGGACTCCCAGCCTGGCCTGGCTTTGTTTTGAGCTCTTGTTTTTCACTGCCGATCCAGACAACAGTAAATGTAGCATGGAGTGAGTTCAGCTGGATGAGGTTCCCGTGTCCCTGCAGGGTGACTCCTGACCCCCTCCCTGCTTCTCCCCTGGTGCTTGCTGCAGTGCAGTGGAGGCGACCGGCCTTGTGGAATGACCGCTGGCAGGAGGCTTGGTGCTGCCATCAGCACAGCAAAGGCTCTCAGTGCCCAGGGGAGATGTCAGCCCTGCAGATCATTCAGCCAGGAGAAAAGTGGGGTATGAGAGAGCAGAGAAGCCAGCTACCCCCTCTGACCCACCTTGGGGTCCCGTGTACTCTGTCCCTGCACAGGGGGCTGCGGGAGCTGCTTCAGGAACACCACTGGCAAAAAAAAAATTACAGGAAACGCCCCAAGGATCAAACATGGTGACACCAAATAGGGTTTTGGTGAGGAGCAGGGAGAGCTGCGCCTGGGTATGGGACTGTAGGGATATAACACCCTGAACCAGGCAGGTTGCCCACCCACAGCTGGGGAAACTGAGGCAAGGAGTAAAGTATCCCCTCTGCCATCTCTGTCCACATCCACCAATGTGAAGAAGGCAACTGTAGCTCAGTTTGGTGCAAAGCAAGAGAAATGCAAAGGGTGAGAAAAGGCTTGGAAGGTACCCCCAGTGCCCCCTCAACAGACCCCCTCACATGCAAATCCCCCTCTAGACGGCTGTGGGCACCAGCCCACATCACCCTTGCCAGCCCTGGCACCAACAGAACCCCCTTCTTGCCCCATCCCAGCCTGGGTGGGGGGATGTGGGTGTTCCCATCCAAGAGGTTGGGAAGCAGGCAGGAGAACATGGCGGGGCTGGGTGTGTCCAGACTGGATGGGAAGCATGGGAGGTACCAGCCTGGATGGGGTGACATGGCGGGTCCTCAGCCTGAATGGGGAGGAAACCGAGGGACCCAGCCTGGAAGGGGGGAACACGGGGGTTCGGCCTGGGACAGGTCTCCCCCCCGGGCAACCAAGGACCGCGAGGGGGCGGCGACCTTGCGCTACCCCGCCGGTACCGGGGCCGGCAAACTGCCGGCCTCCGCGGGGGGGGGCTCCGTTGGCCCCCGTCGCCCCCTGGGCTCTGCGGGCGGGTCCCCACCTCCTGGTCAGTGTGCACCTCCAGAAACGCATCGGGCCGCGGGGGGGGAGGGTCCGGTGGCCCCCGAGCCCGGCTAGCCACCCAGCCGTGGCTCGGCGACGCAGCTGTGGGGCGCGGGGAGTCAGCCGCCGGCACCGGCATCGTCGACTCGGACCCTCTGTACGAGGCGGTGCTGAGGACGCTGGTGCTGGAGCTTGGCCTCGACGCGGCGGACGAGCTGCCAGAGCTCTGGCTCGGCCAGCACGAGTTCGACTTGCCCGCGGACCTGCCGGCCGTCTGCTGAGGCTGGGGGGCGCTCCCGCGCCGCCCTCAGTGGGGGCCTGCCGTCCGGTGCCGCCGGGCGCGGGGAGCGCCCCGGACTCCCCACGGGGATCTCGGGCCGGCGCTGCCGT